CTGGCCGAGCAGGTCAGTAATATTTACGTGACATTTTCCATCAGAGAGGTTCTAAAATCCTGGCTTTCTCTGCTGTAGTGAAAAAGGATAAAACCAGCACAGGGAAAAAAACTGGTATGATTCTGATTAAGTGCGGCCACTAATGTAAACAGTGAAGTGGGAGGCTGTCAACTTGCTCCCCAGAAACACATCCAGCACCTCTGTTGGAGCATCTCATGGGGCTGAGAGGGCTGAGATACAGGTGTGGTGGCTGACCAGGACAGTATATTAAGAAGAGTGTAGCTGCATTTCCTAGATTTATATTTCTAAATCATGTCTTTAGAGTAAAGGAATATCTCATCTTCCAGGATCATGTTCTGTCAAGCTGTCACAATAGCTTAATTTACAACCAATTAAGACACATGCACTGTTAATTTTGCATGCACAAACAAACTTTGCTTGCTTGCATTTGTGGGAATATGCTTAGGGGTTTTTTTAAGAGGAGAGGGTTTTTTTCTCTTCACCACAGTTTGACAGAAGTCCTTCTGATGTCTTACAGAGCAGCAGTGTCCTACAAGACCAGAGCCTGAGAAACATCCCCGCAGATGGAGCTGCAGGGATCCTTCATTTATCAACTACCTGATTCATTTGATGTGGACCAATACTTGCTCTTGGCTTTGCTCTCTTTGCTCTTTGTTTTTTGTTGTGGTGGTTTTGGTTTTGGGTTTGGGTGTGTTTGGTTGTGTGGTTGTTTTTTTTTAATTTATCTTGTGTTTATAATATCTGCAGTAGATTCTTTTATGTATAAAAACATAAAATCATGTATTGTACACAGGTAGTAAAAACACTGATTTGCTACTGCAGTGTTTCTCAAACTAGTTGAGTTCATTTAGGCAATGTACTTTATCAAAGCTGTGTTTTGCCCACAGCAAAACAAACCGTCAGCTGTTACAGAAGAATAATTATTTTTCATATTAAAATGTGGCTATATGACAGCTCATTGTATCCATTAAAACAACTACCTATTCTTCAGTCTGGAATCAGAACTGCTTTCAGAGAGCATCCAGCTTGCTACTGAAATGATTTAAATAGGTCGAGTGTAACACTGTAAATATGACCAAGGCAAAAAGCCAGTCCATAAAACTGTCAGTTTTAGTCTAATAAAGGAGGAAGGCCTTTGCTATTTCTCTGTAGCAGAGAGTTTATTGTCCAGCTGTATGCAACGGCTTTAGGACACCTGGCCACTTAATCACTGAGTATCAAGTCCAGAATACCAAAGGAGCTACAAGCAAAATAATCAGTAGTCTAATTTTCTTCAGTACTGAAGACCCTGCACACAGCTCTGACATCAACATATGGTTTTGGTGTAAAATGCACAAGATTTTAACATTCCTGGTGGCTGTCAGAAAATGACAAAGAGTTTTGATGGAACAACAATCTGAAGAAGCACATATTGCCTGGCAAGGTTACACTGCTTATATTGTGGGGCATAAGTCTGGGGAAGACAGGAGGGCATTTATCTCAGCCAGTAGATGGTAGGCCTTGTCCCAGCACTGCCTTAAGCCACAGTTGGAAGCAACAAGAGCATCAGTGGTTCCAGCTGGAAGCATACACAACAGTCTCAGCCAAGACAGGGTGGTTGTTAACTGTTCTGTTTGAAAACAAGGTACCTGATTTACCTGTAATCTAATTCAGAGGCAAAAAGGATGGGCTCAAGGCTATGCCAAAACAGTGAGGTCAATGCTCGGTACTGCTGGTGTGCAAGGCAAGGGCATTTTTGCTGTAGTTACCCCAGAAGCAGCTCCTGCCCAGACTGAAACATCACTGAGTTACACAACTAAGTGAACCAGCTCCTTCCCCCTGCAAACCCTTCTGTAAGGCCTCAGGTAACCCTGTGCACATGGAAATCCCCTTGCTTTAGCAAACACATCAATCTCCCACTTTCATTGCTACAGATTAGGGCTTAAAAATAGGCTTGACATCTGGATTTTCTGGTTTATACAACAGAGTTAAAGTTCAATATATTGATATGAGCTGTAAGGCTTGTTTCCTTCGGGGTGCAATCAAAGCACGTGGATTTCTACAGCTACAAGTGCACAGCTTTGGTATGACTACAGGTACAAAAGCTGCTGTGGGAGCCCACAGGCAGCTGAGGTTAGATTAGACTGTGAGACCATGTTGGTGGGCAGTATTGGCCTATCTGTGTGTTTCCACTTCTGAAAGGGATCTCACACCCTGTACTTTAACCAACTTCCTCCAGGATATTTCTGGAAAGCAGTTCTGCATCATGATGATGCCTGCCCTCATCACCATGTTCTCAGAACACAGTGCTGCTCCCTGTCTGATCAGTCTATCAGGGTCTGTGTTATCTCACAAAAAGGACAACCATGGATCTGGAAAGCCACGAGGCTTAAGTGATCTACTTCCCACCTCTGTGCACTCAGAGAGTCAGTTACAAGGAGGTTGGGTGAACGCAGACACTGAATCTGCTGCAGAACTGATGGGAGGCAGTTACCAGCTCATCTTTTAGTAGTTGTAGTAAATTGTCACTAAATCCCCAGGCACCCTCAGACTATAGAGACTTCCAAGATACCAAAAGGGAAGCATTAATACATTACATGGAGGAGGAAAACAAGAGAAGAACACAGGGTGTTAGGGGTAAAAATAGGAAAAACATCACAAATATCCCTTCTTTTCGGGTGAGTTTCTCCTCTACTGAAATACAGAGCTGTCCTCTGCCACCTACCTTTTTGTTTGTGCTTGTTCATCTGTGGAGAAATCTGTCTGATGAAATGAAACATTTTGGCCCCAAAATGAGGTAGCTGCTAAGTGAGAATACTGGCTTCACACAGCCATCAAGGCAAACGCCTTAGGACTGAGCTGTTCAACCAGCAATGGAAAACAATTTTGCTTTTTTTTCTTCCCACTGGGCATAAGTCTTCCTTGTCTCTCTGTTGTGCTAGTGAAAGCAAATTTCACTGGAAACTGAATCCATTTACAAATATTTTGACAGATTGAGACAGTTGCTTAGGAAAAAAAATGATTAAAAGTATGCAGATAAAATATAGTGTCATGTGAACAGCTGCTGCACAGACCCACAGCCTGTGTGGACATAATTTTATTTATGCTTTTTAAAGGCTATGTGGGTGTCCCTGTAAAACAGAAAGAATGTGAACATTACTCCTGTTGGTGATAAATTAGAGAAAAATCTCAGATGATTAATCCACCAAAATGTGCAGTCTTGACTTTTTTCTTTAACTTTTTTGTCAGGAAGATATATATGCAAAATGGTACGAACACTGCTCTTGTATATACTCACACATCCCATTCTATAGATCTCACTGGCAACTCCCTTTGAGGCTGTCTCTGTTTCTGACTGGAACAGGTCATTATGTGAGTGCCTCAATCCATCACTTTTGAAGTATCCTGCAAAGAGATTGCCATTAGAAGCCAGAGCAACAAAACCAACTATCTTCCTTCTAAAATATGACTTGCAATTTTGTATCACGTCTTATTTTTCTATTTCTAATATTATATTACCTATCTATACAGTTACTCTTCTGTAGGGACACGGACCGTGCTGTACCTGCTTTTCCTGTACCAATTACTGCTATTTTAAGACTGTGTAGAAATGTCTGCAAATAAACATTAGCTGGAAGTTCCTGATGCTTTCCCCTGACACTGTCATTGGAACATTACGGCCATAAACCCCCTTGCCTATGGCAGTTATAATTGATTTTGCTTTAAATTCTGGACACCTGAGCAGTGAAACACTTTAAGAGTTTCAAATAGCAGGATCAGTCTACAAACAAAGGACAACAAATTTCAGATGCAGCTGTTGCACTGAGTGACATGAACGGACAAACTGCTTCTCCATAAATGCCAGAATTTGCTACAACCTGTCTTGCCAGGCACTATACAGAGTACTGACAATCTGCACAAAGCTGTGATGCTGACTGTATATATGCAGACACACTTTCTCACCTTTTCAGAACTTTTGACACCCAAATTCACATACTCAATCCAACACTAGGAAACAAAACATCAGTGGGAGAAAAACAATTCAATATCCATTGCTCTCTGAGAGTTCAAGTAATCTTTTCACAGAGTAAGGCTGCAATATCTAGATAAAAAACATTCCAGTTCAGCTGGATCACCACTTAAACAGAAAATGGAAACACAGAGTGTTCAGACAGCAACCATGGAGCTGCCTTGCACAGTCAGAGCCACGATGCATGTGAGCTACCCCCAGCATGATACAATCCATGAATGAGAGAGCAAGGTCAGCACATTTGCTGACTCCTGTCTGGCCCCAGCCAGAGCAGGGCAGATGATATTCCAGGCCCTCATAGTGCTGAAGCAGCTCCTGGTCTCAGACAATCAGCACCATAAGACACCCCTACTCTTAAACACAAGAAGCCTCACGGTACCCAGCATGAGGTTGTAAAGAATTTAGAGGTGAAGGGGATATGCTCACCCAAAGGCAAATCTTGCAAGGATAACTTGGAATAGTGCTGAGAGGTTTAAAGAGTGAACCACCCCACAGCAAAAAAGGTAGTAATAAAAATAATCTATAAATGCCCTATTCAAATGTACAAGATGTCTCTTACTGCTTATTGCCCTTTGAGCATTTTCCTTGTCAAATTCTACTTCGCAGCCGATGAAAAAAAACATCCACAGCATTTCATAATGACGGGACACAGCTGCTTTAAGGCTGCTGATGAATAAGGAGGCCTTGAGCACTGCTATGGCCGTGCTGTTTTTTTGTTGTTTGCCACATCAGAAAACAAATGCCAAACCACTTCATTCAGGGTCTTCTATTCATCAATCCCTTTGGAAAAAAAAAACAGGAGCAAAAAACCGGCACTAGAAATAACACTGTGTGGAACAACATTCTGAACAGCAGTGCCAGCTTACTGGGGAGCTGCTTGTGAACTGGTACACCAGCTCACCACCATGCCCTGCTCAGGGAACAGGGAGTATTTGGCTCATATTTTCTTTTGCATTGAAAATTTGGTGAGTAACAAGTGAGCGTCCATTTAAGAAACCTGTTCATAGCATTGGACATCAACAGCTGGATTGTGTCTTTGCAACTGTTTGTCCTTTGAAATTGCGCTGCATTTGCTGACCCCTGATTAAAAGGCTTTTTTTTTTTTTGGACCAGGGCGGAAAGAAAAAAAAATATCTACATATTCACATAGGATGATAAAAAACACATCACATCGCAGCAAGGAGAACAAAGGGAACAACAGCTACCTGCATACCTGGGAAACTGGCACCATGTCAGCAGTTATTGGGGTCTGCCAGGAGCAAGGATGGGACTCAGGAACACTCAGAGCAATCAGCTTGCAAACCACAAAGCAGAGTTTATGATCTGGTCCCTTGAGAGGAAATACTGCAACTTCTAACCTTACACCAACAGTTTCAAACTGATTTTAAAAAGAAAGCTTTCTGAACTATGGAATTTATTTTTTTATCACTTTGTTTAGAAATACTGAGTAGGTGCATTTACCACAAAATTTCTTCACGATAAGATATATTCCAACCTCATGAAGAAGCTTACACTACTGTTAATTAAGATGAATAGTTTCAGGAGATTCTGAGAAAAATAACACCTATACTCATAAAACTTGATGACAAGATCTGATGTGTTAGAGAGAAGAGTGATTACTCTAATGCACTATAATGCTTGTTACATAGTCTCACAGCTCTCCCCTGCTGTGTTTTGTATAGCCTATGAAGTCAACAAAGCACTGATAAAGAAACAAATTAAAGGTAGGATTCACATGATTCATACTTCAATAGAGAGGAATTAAAATAGATAATGGCTCCCAGACAAAGAGGAAAAAAAATAACGATTTTCTTGTAGTATTTCAGCCCTGACCCCATTAGAACTTTGATACTGCAGATCCATCCTCTCTCTAATTAGTCCATACATTAAAAGTCACCTGACTTTAAATTATGATTTGCATCTACAACATAAAAACTTGGTACTCTTGCATGGCAGCTGGATATAGAAAAAGTTGTATTCT